CCCGAACAGTATTTAAATTGCCTCGACATTCTCAACAGATATCCAGGGTCCCAAGAAGATGCATTCAAGAAGTTAAATGATCGTTTGACTTTTCCTCTAGCGCCACCATGAGATGAATTGTTTAGTTCTTTAGTGAAATATCTTGACAAACTTTTGGATATGAAACTTGGTGCAGACTCTCATAGTCCCAAGAGGATGAATTGTAATATCAGTAATAATAATCCTTATTATCAGCCTGTTAGCCCAAGCACATCCTCACTCAGCTGCTATATGACCGTAGACTCATAATGACTGTCCACACCAAGAAGTATTACTATAACTAAAATCGTAGCAATGTGAGCCTCCCCTCTAATGAACGATAAAGTCATTTCTAAACAGTGGCTCAAGACATCCTGACTTAGTGCTGCATACCGGTACGCCGAACCGGTACTGGACTTGTAAAACGTTTCGGTTCAAGTCCGGTTAAAACCGGAACGTCGGGAACCGGTACTTGGACTCGCAAAAAAACTAGCACTTACGTATATTCTCCTTTTTGTTCGAAACTATCTAAAACCTTCCATAGATCGAGAAATTTGCGCTGAGAAAAGACGAAAAGCATCGTGTCGGCTTCTGCCATTAACTCACGAAGTCTCGCAAAATATCGCAACTGCTCACGAGATCTGTGTGACGTCAAGGGAAGCTAGCGATGTGATTGGCTTAGACATAGTGGACAGCGTGGGCTGCTGGTCGCCATATTGGATATTTGGTAGTGTAGCTAACTCCTTTGTTTGGTCTACGGCGTCACGGCCCGGGTCATGTAAACACAATGCCGCGGGGCTTTAAAGGATTTAGGCTCAGTCAGCTCAGGGACTGTTTGGTTACTTTAGTTTGGTAAATGAAATAAATGTTTGAACTTTGTAGTAGTTCACTGTAGTTGCTGTAATAAGTCATTTGTAGACTAAGTGGCAAAAAGTGTTTTTTTTACATTTGTACTTTGTAGAGAAATGTAGACACAAGTTGGAAGGGAGCACAATAAACCTGACGAGTTTGAATTTGAGTTGATTATGAGTTTATTTTCAATTGATAATTAGCTCACAATAAGTTCACTTTAGTTACTCACACAACTTGACACAAGCCATGGACTTGAGTCCGGACCTGAACCTGAATGTGAGTCCAGGTACGCAGCATATAACCTGACTTGATACCTTTTATTGCCAGATGTTGCAAAGCGGTTTAAAGTTTAAAATCACTCTGAAAGTGATCCTAACGATGTCGGTCGCCACTTTCTCTGTCAGTTTATTTAAGGTATGGACCACTCCGTCCACTTGAGGTGAAATATTTTTTAAATAACACATTTATAACTATCACTTTCGTTATCCGTCTTAAAGGTAGGGTAGGTAAGAATGGAGAAACCAGCTCGAGTGTGCTAGAATTTGAAAGTACGCAGCCTTAGAGAGCCCCTCTTCCAACACACACGAACGCGCACATGACCAATGAGGGCACGAGATCAGTTTGTGCACAGATGGAAGGCTGACAGGCAGGTAGGCCATCCAGTTACTTTAGCCGGCTCATATGATTGGTCGTGCTTTTTACAGCGCCACGGCTTCCACAGATAAAATGTTTTGATGTATTTATTGTTAAAGCATTTAATTTATTCATTGCTATCGGGATGTTGAGAGCATTCCATGGAATATAACAAAAAGTGAATTACCTACCCTACCTTTAATGTAGACTGACCTTTTAGTCTTATTCATTATCAACCAAATATATAAAAATACATTACTTGTATAATAAAAGTGTTAGTCTGTACTAAGATTACATTACATTACATTACATTTAGCTGACGCTTTTATCCAAATTTAGTAATTCTATCGCTCGAAGGGGAGTCGAAAAAGATGAGTAATAAGATAAGATAATGGGATAATGTGTTTGTAATGGGATCAAAAACAACAACTGTCAAACCCTTTAAAGCAGGGGTCCCCAAACTTTTTCCTGTGAGGGCCACATAACTTTTCCCTTCTCTGATGGGGGCCGGGTCAGTTTGTAACAGAAAAAGTGTGACGATCGCATGGGTGTCTAAACGTAAACATTTATTGTTTTCTAGAAAGCCACACATAACCAAATATTAATAACCCTTTCCGGGATCTTCACAGAAAAAAAGTCAGGAAATAAATAATAACACTATTAATGAAATAAATAACACTATTTATAAAATAAATAATAACCAAATAACCCTCTCTGGGTTCTTCACAGAAAAAAAGTCCATTGAAAATTACTGTAACTTTCTGTTGTGCCGTGCACAATCTTAACAGGTAAAAGTTTAGCTTAGTTGTCAGAGCAGAATCTCTCAAAATAAACGTGGATTTACGTAAAAAAAACTATTTTTTCGGGGTTCGGGTGTTTTGTTTGATTTTAAACAAACAAAGTCTTGGCTTTCAGAATATGAAACTTTTATTTCCTATTTATTTCTCACTCGCAATCTGCTCTTCCGCAGCGCCGCCCCCCCCCTCACTCTGCTGAAATTATGAATGTAAGAGTATAGTAATCATAGATAACACGGCAGGGTCCGTTACAGTTTGTTTTCATCTGATTTCAATTAAACAAAGTCTTGGCTTTCAGAATATTAAACTTGTTTCGGCAAATTCAGATGATAAATACAACTTTGAAGCTTCGGCATAATTACAAGCGGAGAACGGAGTAACTTGACGTCACAGCAGGCATAACAACAGCCGGTGTTTCTCGTGATTGTTTTCCCCGGGAAACAAACACAATACACACAAACGCAAAATTACACAAGCACACACACTCACACACACGTATACACACACACTCGCGAGCTTCCCCTCCAAACAAAAATATCTTCCCTCGGTAGTATTTTGATCATTTGCTCCGCTAATAATCAATCAGATCGATGGATTCCAGAGAAGAGACAACTTTGAAGGCCTTTTTCTCAAAATGATGACTCGGTGACAGTCATTATATAATGTGACATATTTCGCTTAATATTTGAAGTACAAAAACAATCCTGATATCATTAGAAAGCTAGGAATATCCTCTTTCCAACAGTGTATACAACTAAAAAGGTGTCTTCGGGTCAATGCGACTGATTTAGATAGAGCAGGTCACAACATTTTGACAGGGGCTAGTCTAGGATTCGCGTGGCCAGACTGACATTTTTTTTTTTTTAAATAAAAAAAAAAAAAAAAAAAATAATCATAATGCGTCTCTGGTATTGTTCAGGGGGCCGGGCCAAATGTGGAGGCGGGCCGTACCCGGCCCGCGGGCCTTAGTTTGGGGACCACTGCTTTAAAGCATTGGAAACCTAACAACATGAAGTTCTATTAATGTAAAAGACACATCATTGTGGCGACTATTTCTTTGTTCCTATAGTCAACTAAATGGTAATACAATTTTTTTAACAAAGTTGAAGTCTCAAATATGTAATTCAGCTACTTGCTTATTATTTGCCTACGCAAACAATTGTTGCGTCTGACCTTTTTGCATGACAGATGACAAGTATGCAGGTCCCCCGCTCAAGAAGGACCATGAAAAGCACGTCTGAAGTTTGTCAATGAACATCGGAATGATTCAGAGAAGGCTTGGGATACGATGATGTGGTCAGATGAGACCTAAATCAAGATCTTTGGCATTAACTCGACACGCCGTGTTTGCAGGAAGAGAAATGCTGACTATAACCCCAGAATACCATCACCACCGTCAGGCATGGAGGTGGAAACATTATGCTCTGGGGGTGTTTCTCTGCTAAGGGGACAGGACGACTTCACTGCATCGAGGAGAGGATGCACGGGGCCATGTACCGTGAACTCTTGGCCGATAGCATCCTTCCCTCAGCCAGGACACTGACAATGGGTCATGGATGGGGTCTTCCAGCAGGACAATAAACCTCAACATACGGCCAAGGCAACGAAGGAGTGGCTAAAGAAGAAGCACACTTAGGTGATGGAGGTGCCGAGCCAGTCTCCAGACCTTAATCCCATAGAAAATCTGTGGAGGGAGCTGAAGCTTCGAGATGCCAAGCATCAGCCTCAAAACCTTCAGGATTTGGAGAGGATCTTCAGAGAGGAGAAAAATCCTTCCTGAGATGTTCACAAACCTGGAGACCAACTACAAGAAGCGTCTGACCTCTGTCTGTCCAACAAGGGTTTCTCCACCAAGTACTAAGACAAGTGTTGCAAGGGGATCAAATACTTATTTCCCACAGTTAGATGCAAATCAATTTAATCTTTTATATAATGTCAATTTCTGAATTTTCTTTTTGATATTCTTATTCTCACTTTTAAATTAAAGATACCATTAAAAATATAGACTGTTAATTTATTTGTAAGTGGGTAAACTTACAAAATCTGAAAGGGATCACAGACTTATTTCCTCCACTGTGTGTCCTTCTGTTGGGTGAAATGTAGAAGCTTGTGGCCTGGATGACAAGACACTTTTTTTTAAACAATGTAGGTAATGTTTTTTAGCCTATAAAGTTATTTTTGAAAAGTGAGGTTTCAAAACATAAAGCTTTTTTAATTGTAAAGCTGCTCTAAACATTCTGAATGTGTCTCAGTTCATGTTGGTTTGCAGTAAACACCATCAGAGGGTGAACATGGACTCAAGCCTTTGCCGTGACAATAAAACCCTTTTGAGCAGCTACAACAAAGCGTTTGAAACAGGTATCCAGACACAAAGAAAATAAAGTTTGTGTAACATTAAAGCATGAACACATGTTTTACTAGAATACCCAAAGTATGAAGCTGGAAGTTAGAGCAATAATTATTTCAATGGTTTTGTGATCTTTTAAATGTATTAGCTTGTAAGCTGTAAAGGTTTCTCATTATATGAAATGATCAGTGTTGTTTCAGACTTTTTGTATTGTTTTTGTTTATGGGCATGAATTTGGTTTTCCTGCTGTGTATCACCAGTCCTACGCCCACATTACTCTATTGGTCCTACCTTGTAAATGCATGTGCAAATGTAAGTAAATAAGCCTGATGTAAAAAAGGTGTCAGTTCCATATCCACTTTGCATTTGACCTAATGTATAATATAAACAGCTGCACATCTGCAGTCTCTGTCCAAAAGAGAGGAACAGGGAAGAGACAAGGATGGAAACAGTTCTTCTGATCATCATCGCCCTTTCAGGTAATTATTATTTGTATATAAAATATATTATCCCATTGGCAATTTTTAGTACTTTCTATTTTGGTTTCCCTCTGACAATTACTTAAGTTCTTTAATTTACAGTTTAACTTTAATGTAATTTGGAGAAGTTGGTTCAGTAATTGATATTGAATCTAATCAAAGTGTGTGTGTCTCTGCAGGGCTGAGCGCTGTCTCCTCACATGCTGAACGTCAGTACCATTTTGTTTCTGAAGCAAAGACCATGTCTGAAGCACAGAGATACTGCAGAGAGAAACACACAGACCTGGCCACTGTAGACAGCATGGAGGTTGTGAAGCTCCTGAACAACATGGCAGGCCAATACAACCAAGTGAGGTCACTTTTCTCTGTCTTTCAATTCAAATGAATTACATTTCTTTTAGAGTTACATTTAAAAAGGAGAGATTATTACAGAAAGCTAAACCTGTTTTAAAGTCCTATGGGAACCTGAGTATTAAAACAGAGTTGAACATGTTTTAAGCCAAAGCTATATTATGAAACCCTGTAATAAAGTGGAAGAGGTTCAGAGTAACAAGGCTGTGAATGAATGTTGACTTGAGGGGATTCCCTTTAGATCACCACGTACCAAGGCTGGTCTCATGAAGGCAAACCTTCTCTTTATTAAACATACACATTTTCTTCAGCAGCAGCTTTAAAAGCTTCAACAGGATGTAATAAATATAACAATTTCTTGCTTTCAGTCAGCCTGGATAGGGCTGCACGATGACCGGGACACCTGGAAGTGGTCGATGTCAGACCCAAGCTTCTACGGACCGGGGGAGATCGAGTTCAGACCATGGAGGCACCATGCAGGGGAACCAAGCAACGGGCACGATGAACAATGCACATTTCTTCATCGTGATGGAACATGGATTGATTATGATTGTAATACCAGCTACAGGTCGGTCTGCTTTGATGTCACAGGTAAGAATATAAACTTAAAATTAATATTACACATTTAAAATCATATCTTAAGCTTCTGAAATACAATGCATTGATCTTTATCTAACTAGCGGTTCCCAACCTTTTTTCTTTGTGACTTTTTTTTCTTTTGTTAGCAGTTCCACTAAAGACTTTTCCCTTTTCACTAAAATGCTCGCATGGTTTCATTTAAATGATAACGTAAAAGGAAATGATATACAATATATATACAATTCTTTGCAAACTTGTTTCAGAATTGTAGTTACGTTTCACATCTTATAAATCTGTGCTAAACAGAATAAGAACAATATAGAATCAATATAATTGAATGAAGCTTTAACCTGTAACACAGTATCTTCACATTGTTGTACTTCTGCTTTTACTCAAATATCTGAATATTCCACCACTGATACTACTAAAGTTTCTTGCCAACATTCATGTGTTGAAAAACCCCAGAACTACAAATTACAAAGTACAAATATGTGGGATTTAAATGTAATATTTTATATTATAAAGGCATCAATACCACCAGAGATGTGGCATTGATGTCAGGCTGTATGTCGTGGTGCCTCTACTCAGCTTCTCTGGGGTCCATTTTCAGGGCCGAATGCAACATTTGTCCCCATTGAGAGCTACATGACATGGACTGATGCCCAGAGCTACTGCAGAGAACACCACACAGACCTGGCCAGTGTGAGAAACCCAGCAGAGAACCAGCAGATTGTTGAGCTGTTACCTGCAGTGGATTATCATTTTTGGATCGGCCTTTACAGAGACTCCTGGAAGTGGTCCGATGGAAGCAACTCCTCCTTCAAGTACTGGAAAGTAAATGAACCTAACTACAGTGCTTCAAAGGTTTGTGTGGCTGCAGCTTTCGACAACTCTGGAAAATGGGAGGACTTGGACTGTGGAGTGGAGAAACCATTCATCTGCTACGGACGTGAGTAAAATTCACAGCTACGTCAAAGCAAGTGATGATATTGAGTCTGTTGAAAACGAAGACACCATAAACGTTGTGACTGATGAAGTTTGTTTGTGTTTCTAGCTGTTGTGCCTGTTTCAATGCAAGTGATAAAGGTGAGGGTGAAGAAACAAAACGGTGTGGATCTGAACGACCAAGCTTTTCTGGATGCGATGTTGGTGGAGGTAAATCATGTTTTCTACTTTTATGCAAAAACATCACCAGAAAGGAAATTCCCATGACATGAGAACAAGAGACGAAAGAGGTAGGAAACAAATAAATATCTATTAAAGAATAATGAATTCAACAAAAGACAATGCAGTAAATGAATTTCAATACGAATGAAATGGACCAAGATGAACATGAATGAAATTCTATATCTATATTCTACTTTGGCCACAAATAACAGGACCCAAGCATTTAGTAAGAAGACGTGTAAATATGTGCAGAAGTAAATAGCAGAAACTTAGCCACATGCCACCAAATGCATTAGGAACATGTACAAATACTATTCCATAACCTGAGGTAAGCTTTACACTGGAAGAAATAAGGGGAACAGCTACCATTTCAGATGAGTGAGCTAAAGAGAATCATCTTGTTTTTTACTGGAACGATAATGATAATGAGTTTTTGTGTCTCAGGCGAAAAGACCTAAGGGCCCAGGATTGGACGACAACGTCCAAGTGGCCTGGAGGAAGCAGCCGGATGGACAAGTCTTCCACGAGGAGGAGGAGAAGAAGAGGGATGAGCTCTAAAGCTGAATTGCTGTGTGTGATTTTTATCAGAGAAAACGTGCATTTCTTTCCTCAAAGTCCTCGTGTTACAGAATTCAGCTGCAACAATGATCTGAATATCTATCAGTAGTGGAGATAAGATAAGGGTTGTAATGTTTTCTATATGGTTTTGAAGTTAATATGTTTTGGGGTGTTAACTGTTCATGTATCTGCTTGACCTGCGAAAAAACGGATTTATTTTCCTATTTTGTGACTTTTTATATGTTTCTTTCAGATAAAATATAAGAGACACTTTTAAATAATATTATATTAATAGAGGGCAATTCCAGGAAATCTTATTACCAATTAACATGATACCTCTAATGCATCTTTAAAGTCATTTCATACAACAATTTAATTCTTCATTTGAAACTAATATTATACCTAAAAATGTGTGTGCAATTACTCACTGTTATTAATATCTTCAATTGAGTTAAACATTGTGTTTATTGCTCCTTTTCTTTAGGGATGCAAACTTTAAGATATGTTCCTAAAATTGTGAATCAGCTTCCAGAATATGAAGATGTAATGTTTTCTCTGTGCTATGTGGTCATAAACTGAATCTCTTCGGGTTTTAATTCCCTCTGGCCTGTGGGATATATAACAGCCATTTTACTCTTTTGTGTGACATTGATAGATTAGATGTTATTAGATTATAAATTAAGATATTAAATAAAAATTGATTACCTTTAACGTTTCAAACAAATTAAATATCAGTTTTCGTTGCATGTATGTAATGTGAGGATATCTTCAAATAATTTAAATAGAAAATAATTAATTGTACTATTTTTCATCCTTATTAAGGATATAAAACTTCGAAGCAAATGTCCTTAAATTATCTATAACTGTTTTACGTTACTTCAAACACCCTTCTGGCAACAATGCTGAATATTCTCGTGGTTCCAGCTTCTTAACTATTATTATAAGATTTGATGTTGTTTTTGTCATGATGAAATTAATATTCTGTTTTAAAAAGATAATCACGATGCAGAATAAACTATATCCAATAAAGAGCTTATTTATTTGAATTATTTATTCAATGATTTTCTCACATGTTGGATTATTGGGTTATTGGGCCAGAAGGGTAATTTCCCTGATTTTAGACACTTTTTAGCCAACTGACTCTCAATGTAGATATATAGATATCTGTTGTCCTTTATCAGAAAATATATATTTACATCACACATTATATACACCACAACACCTTGACATCAGGGGTACATAGGTACAGGACACAGTAACTAAAAAGTGAACATATATATACTGTATAAACTTAGTACATTTACTTTAGCCTGTCGCGTAGGGGCCGGAGATGAGAGTTCATGTTTGGGTTGTTGGGCTGTCACAATTGGGTGTTATTCACTGTGTGGTGCCATAGGGTGTCGCTGTACGATTCCCTATGGCACAGGTATTTAAGGTTTGTTTTGTCACCTGATTGAGGTGTTTTACTCATTTCATGCAGTATTTTGACAGTGTTGTGGATCTCCAAGGAGAACAGATGTATTGTCAGGTTTAGCCTCGGAGTTGATCGATTGTTGAGCTGCTTCAGCCTACTAACTATATGCAAAACACAGATTGATTGAATGTTTTATCTGAAATCTGTAAGCAACAAACATCAGAATCAGAAACCGGGTTTATTGTAGGTTCACACGTACGAGGAATTTGGACTTGTCATAAAATATAAAACAAAACAATTAAAAAAGACTACACAGATAGCGAACTATATTAAGAACACTGTAAAACAATATGGATAGATAGCAATAAAATAAAGCAGTAATTTACAGCGAAATAGAATGCAGTGAATTATAGAATATAAAATACGAAATATGTGCAGTAAGCAATATTTGAACAATATTTGGACATGTGTGCATTAATGTAATGCGTATAGAGTCTGCGTTATGACTGAGGTAAAGTGTCAGTGGGGGGGCCGGGCCTTGTTTAAGAGGCCGGTAGCGAAGGGGAAGAAACTGTTCAGGGTGGCGAGAGGTTTTTGGTCCCGATGGAGCGCAGCCTCCTGCCAGAGTGGGGAGGGGGGTGAACAGTTTGTGTCCAGGGGTCGGCCACTATCTTCCCCTGCCCGCTCAGATTTCTGGAGGCGGGCAGGTCGTGGAGGATGGCAGATTGCAGACGATCACCTTGTCTGCAGAGCGGACGACACGCTGCAGCCTGCCCTTATCCTTGGCTGTGGCTGCGGCGTACCAGATGGTGATGGAGGAGGTGAGGATGGACTCCATGATGGAGGGGGTAGAAGTTCACCATCATTGTCCTTTGGCAGGTTGCATTTATTCAGCTGCCTCAGGAAACAACATCCTCTGCTGGGCTTTTTTGATTAGGGAGCAGCTGTTTATGCTCCCATTTGAGGTCCTGGGGCGATGATGGTGCCCAGGAAGCGGAAAGACTCCACAGCAGTACTGGGGAGTCACACAGAGTGATGGGGGCGGGTGGGGCTGCGTTCTTCCTACATCCACAACGCATTTCCACTGCCTTGAGAGCATTGAGCTCTAGGTGATTGTCCCTGCACCAAGTCACCAGATGGTCCCAGACTCGTCCCCACCAGAGATAAGTCCGATGAGCGTGGTGTCGTCTGCGAATTTCAGGACCTTGACAACCTGGTGACTAGAGGTGCAGCTGTTGGTGACAGGGAGCAGAGCAGAGGGGAAAGAACGCAGCCTTGAGGAGAACCAGTGCTGATGGCCGGGGGTCAGAGGACGTGTTTCCCCAGCCTCACGTGCTGCTTCCTGTCAGACAGGAAGTCAGTGATCAACCAGACAGGTGGAGTAGGGCACGTGCAGCTGAGCTTGTCGTGCAGCAGCGCCGGGATTATGGTGTTGAAGGCAGAGCTGAAGTCCACAAACAGATCCTGGCGTAGTAGTTTCCTGCGTGGTCCATGGTGCTGGAGGAGGAAGTGAAGGGCCATGTTGAACAGCAATCGTCCACATACCTGTTGGCCTCTGTAGGTGAAACTTCAGGGGGTCCAGAGAGGGGGTCTGTGAATGGATTATAGGTGTGGATAGGACAAGGCGCTCAAAGGACTTCATAATAACACAGAGGTCAGGGGCGACGGGTTCTGTAGTCGTTTAATCCTGAGAATCCTGTTTTCCTTGGTGAACCCGGGATGATGGTGTGAACTGCTCATTCTCATGCCATTATGTATGAAACTAGACCTGGACTAAAAAAACTAAAGAACAACGAAGCAATTATAATTTATATTCTCAATCTTGAATATCAAGCCATCTAGACATGGATCTAGAGATGGAAAAGTTAGTCTGCCTTTCGTTCCACCACTCTTGTCCGGACTCAAATACAGCGGAGGAAATAATGATTTGATCCCTTGCCGATTTTGTAAGTTTAACCACTTACAAAGAATTAACAGTTTATAATTTTAATGGTAGGTTTATTTTACTAACAAGAGACAAATAGTAAAAAAGGATATCCAGAATGTACATCATATAAGAGATATCAATTAATTTGCATTAAGTTGTGGGAAATAAGTTGGACAAACACGATAAAGGAAATGTTCAAATTCGGCTCTGATCGTAACAACATCGGGCCATTCGTGAGGGCATCTTAGCCATCGTATGACCAGCCGGTGGAGTTTCTCAGGCTCCGGCAGCAACTTCGTGAGCACGTGGCAAATCTTTGGTCATGCCAAAAAATTGCCAAAATACCATACGAAGGTTCATTTTCGTGTTGAGTTAGTGTGTCCATTTGCCCTTCGTAAGGCCATCGTGAGGGCATCTTGTCAAATCGTGTCGTTTACTTTGTGTGATCATCGGTGCCATCGGGCATTTTTCGCCTAACGAAGACAATACGAAGGAAACAAGAAGCTGCCCGATTGTCTTAGGAAGGCAACACGACTGCGTGAAGCCCTCACAATGCCGTCGTGTAGTCATCATATTATAGTACAATGACATCGAGATGGGACCACGCCACGGTATCGGCGAAGACAGCGAATTTGAGTAGCTCAAGTGTTCAAGTGTTTCCCATGTGTCATGGTAACGTGGACGTATTAAAAGGCCAGCCTCAGAGCATCTTCCTCAGTCAGTCCTGAGAAACTCTACAGAGCAGAGGCGCTTCAATCACAATTAATCACAAATGCTCAATCGAAGTCAGTAGCAGTGATGATACCTGTAGTAAGCAGGTGAAACAGGAGCATGAGGACACGGTGTGCTATGTTTCCTTGCAGATCGCTTCTCTGGTTGTTTT